CCTTAATTCCGCTATTCAACATAGGACAACCAGCACCCAAAAAATGAGTCGTTATGTTTATGAAAAGATTATCCTAAGAGATTTGATCCAAGTCAAGACATTTCAAAAATTGTTAGGAGCTTTGGAGCAACATTAAAATTGTCTTCGTGTGATTTGCAGGCTATCGTTTTGAGCCGCCGAAGCAGACACTAATGCTTGCATTAGGGTAGGTTGTCTACATCGCACCCCCTGAATGTACAGCTCTTCCCCGTCGATCCTGCATGAACGCCGTATATATCTTGTGCACCGGACCGTCCGAATTGGAGAAAAAGTCAAAACTTAAGTTACTCCTGTTGAACTCATTTTCATTCAGTCCACTTAGATGTCAGTATGGTGCTGTACTATGTGGTTCAGCCAATGGCATTTGTTCTTTAAAATTAACTACTCGTTTCACGTGGCAGTTTTCCGTAGGAGGAAATCTATCAAATTCATAAACTCCGCATGTATATGGCATTATTAGGTTATATAATTACCAGAATTAATTAGGAACATGAAAAGTAACTGAAATTAGAATATCGCAATACACACGCTTTTATATTAACCATCGACTGCTTTATATTACACGCTGTTTAGATCATTGTTCCTTATCGTTTTATAATGTATTGTATTGTATTGTATCGTATTGTATTGTATCATTTTATAAATTTAATGTTTGGATAGATTGTATTGTTTGTTATTGTTAAATAATATTTTGCTGTTTGGTTTGACTGTATCGTACTGTACTGTAACTGATAAGTTTACTAAAATACCCTCAATTGTTTAAATATTAAATTTATCAAAAATTATGCATAAAAATAATTTTAAAAAATATAACAGAAGAAGGCAAAAAACCTTAAGAAAGTAGAACAAAGGAGTAAGACAGAAGAAGGCAAAACAAAGGAACACAACTAATTAGAATTGAGTTAAAAGCAAATTACGAGAAAAAAATCAAACAGAAGGCGGCAAAATATGTCACGACCCGGATTTCCCACCATCGGGATCGTGATGGCGCCTACTTGTGGTAGCTAGGCAAGCCAACTTATTTACCTTTCGTTAATAAATAAATCTGTTAACAATCTATAGCATCAATAAGAAATATGAGATTTAATAATAATAACAGCGGAAGTCTAATTTATAAGTCTGAATCAAAACGCGGAATTAGTCAACAATAGCCTCTACCCAAGATTTGGTGTCACGTTACTCACGAACTACTAAGAATAAACTAAATACAAAGGTTTGAAAGAAATATAACAACTGTCTGTCTCGAAAACAATGAGGCAACAGTCAAAAGGAAACATAAAGAAGAGACGCCGGGCCTGCGGACGCCTGCAAGGCTACCTCAGTCTCGTGAATAGGAAAGTCTGCTCCCGAACTACTGCTGCTGCTGCTCCTCAAAACCTGGACCTGTGCAAAAATGCAAAGAAGTGTAGCATCAGCACAACCGACCCCATATGCTGGTAAGTGTCTAGCCTGACCCCGGCGAAGTAGTGACGAGGCTAGACTGGACATCACGTAAACCTGTGCAGTTATAACTATACAGCGGGAATCGAATACCAAGTAATTAACAACATGGGAGGGGAGACATGCTAAGGGGAGATACAATATTAGCAGCAATCCAGAGTAACAACTAAAACAGCTTAGGTTCACAATGAACAAGGAATCAATACTCAAATACAAACACATAGCCTCAATAACTGTTGCAGCGTGCAACCCGCTCCATAATTACTATTGTTGCGGCGTGCAACCCGCTCCACAAATACCACTGTTGCGGCGTGCAACCCGACCCATATCATTTATCATGTATCATTGTTGCGGCGCGCAACCCGATCCTCACCTTTTACTGTTGCGGCGTGCAACCCGATCCTCAATATCATTGTTGCGGCGTGCAACCCGACCCTCACATATTATTGTTGCGGCGTGCAACCCGATCCTCAATATCATTGTTGCGGCGTGCAACCCGACCCTCACATATTATTGTTGCGCCGTGCAACCCGATCCTCAATATCATTGTTGCGGCGTGCACCCGATCCTCAATATCATTTAACAGTCCGACTCCCCAAACAACAGTCACAATTAAGGGGCATAAAAATAAGTAAATATTTGACAAACATCCCGGCAAGGGAAAGAATCCAACAAGTTCAACCAAACATCCCGGCAAGGGAATAATCAACAACGTTTTCTCTTTCTTACTTTTCTTATCTCACGATATCACTGGAGCCCAAGCTCCAAGAAATTTCTTATCTCATATTCCGTCACAAACAATAATATAACGACTTCCCAGTAAGGGAACAAAACATCATCTCAAATATTCTGCCAAGGGGATTACTATAACCACATTAGTTCCAACATCTAACCACCACATTAGTTCCAACATCTAACTACCACAGCTATAACCAACCTATTACCACACTTGACCACCTCAGCTATATCTAACCGACTACCACACCCAACCAACCCATCTATAACTATAGTCATCATATGACACAAGGAAACATTAACCTGAGCGACCCTAGTATCCGTTAAGAACACAATGTAGAGGAATCACAACCCAACAATAGCCCGCCAAGAGGGCAACATAATGATCTCTCATCTTTCTCGCTTTTACTTCACAATTCTTTTTCACAACTCGAGCAAATGCTCCAGAGGTTCAATTATCACTTATACTTTCGCAATTCGTTCTACAACTGGAGCCGACGCTCCTCAATGAATCAAGTCATTTCATATACTTTCAATATTCATATCACAGTTCGAGTCAATGCTCCTAGGAATCAAATTATCATATCACCATTCACATGTTATTCACAATATATGGAAATACTCCAATAAACATGAAATTCACAATAAGTTCATGAAAGGACTCACGGTCATGCTAGACACCAATGTATAGATACTCGTCACCATGCCTATACATCGTACTCGATCACATAGCAGTTAGCAACAAGACTCAACTCCTATTCCCTCAAGCTAGGGTTAAACCAAACACTTACCTCAAAGCCTTGAAATCGACTTAATCCTCAACTATTGCTTTACCTCGCGGTTCCACCTCCAATTCGCTCGAATCTAATCACACATTGCTCAATTACTTTAATAAACATTATATGAATCAATTTGAATGCATAAAAATGAGTTTCCCAAGTTTTTCCCAAAAATTCCAAAATCGCCCCCGGGCCCATGTGGTCAAAACTCGAGGTTCGAACCAAAATCTGGTTACCCATTCCCCCACGAGTTCAAATATATAATTTGTTTTGAAATCGGACCTTAAATCGAGGTCCAACTCCCCAATTTATGGAAAACCTAGGTTCCACCCAAAAACCCCAATTTCACCCATGAAAATCCTTGATTTCAAGTGGAAAACATGTTTAATGATGTTAAAAGTTGAAAGAATTGAGTAAAAATCAACTTACAAATGATTTGGGATGAAGTTTGCTCTTGAAAAATCGCCTATGGTGTTTGGGTTTTGAAAGAATGGTGAAAAGTGAGTGAAAATTCGACTAAGTATAAAATTTGCTGGGCCTCGGATATGGGAAATGCGAAGGTAAGTTCGCATTTGCGAACATCACAGGCTTGGGAATTGCGACCACAGGGATCGCATTTGCGAACTCAGGTCTGGTGGACTAGGTTCGCATTTGCGAACATCCGATCGCATTTGCGATCATGGCCATATCGCATTTGCAAACAGTGGCGTCGCATTTGCGACCAAGCTGAAACCCTTCCATCTCGCATTTGCGATGGGGAACTCGCAAATGCGAGTCTCGCATTTGCGAGGAATCTTTCGCAAATGCGAGAATACCAGACCTGATCTGCAATTTTTTTTTCAAAGTTGAGAAATGCAATCCGATGCCTATCCAAAACTCACCCGAGCCCTCGGGGCTCCAAACCAAACATGCATACAACCTCAAAAACATCCTACGGACTGCTCGTGCGATCAAATCGCCAAAATAACATCAAAATCACTGAATCAAGCCTCAAAACACATGATTTTTCTTCTAAACTTCATAAACTTTCAAACTTGGAACTTATAGTCCGAAACACGTCAAACGACGTCCGATTTCGACCAAACTTTACAGAAAGCGCTTAACACATATTTAAGACTTGTACCGGGCGTCGGAACCAAAATACGAGCCCGATACCATAGTCTTAAATTTTCATTTCCATTTTCCTTAATAATTTCAGATAAACAATTTCACGGAAAAATTCATATCTCGGGCTCTAGACCTCGGAATTCGATTCCGGGTACATGCCCGAGTCGCATATTTTTCTACGGACCTTCCGGGACCGTCCAATCTCGGGTCCGGGTCCGTTTACCAAAAATGTTGACCAAAGTCAACTATAATCATATTAATATCAAAATTCTTCAAATTTTTTACGGAATTCACATATTTCAACATAAAAGCTTTCCGGCTACGCGCCCGGACTGCGCACGCAAATCGAGGCAAGTAAAAATGAGGTTTTAAGGCCTCGAAAGCACGGAATGGATGAGGAAATAGGTGATGACCCTTTGGGTTGTCACAAAATACCTTTAATGTTGGCGGCAGAAGTTTTGAAAACAAATAAAGTAGGTTATATGTTGGAGATTTGGAGTTAAAATAGAAAAAAAGTTAAAGGGTAAAATAGAATTATGGAATAATAAGTTAGGGCATAATTGGAAAGGAAAATAGGAAACAATCCCACCACACCAAATCGGTTGTTTCAAAAAATGGGACTTTCCATTGTTCCGGAGCAATGAATTTGACAGTACAATACAACCAATTTTAATGAAACAATCAAAACAAACGTTGTTTTAAGATAACAATACAATACGATACAATGGGAACAACCATCCAAACAAGCTGTTAATGAAAACAACAATTTAATTAAATAACATCTCCACCAGACAGACTTCCTTTATTTTCCACCTTTTTCTACGCATTATTCCATATTCTCACCACCCATTCTCAACATCCTTCATTAGCTACCCAAAAAAAAGAAAAAACAGAAAAAATAAGAAGAAATAAATACTACTAAGAAAGAACATACCCTGATCAGGTTTCAAGGGTTGGTTCTTTTTCAACCCTTAGAGATCTGATCTTTCATATAATTATTCATCAATTTTTTTTCCTATCCAAAAAGAAAAAAAGAAACAAAAAAATGGTTCGTGTAAGCAATTTCTTAATCTCATTTGTTAACTTGTTAACCTTTGTTGTTGCTATATTGGCTATAGCAATTGGCATTTGGGCTAAAGCAGAAGAAAGTAAAAGCCTTTGCCAAAAAGCAATTTACATGCCTTTTTTAATATTTGGGGCATCACTTCTCGTACTTTCTTTAATGGGATTAGTGGGATCTTGTTGCAGAGCCTCATTTTTCCTATGGATATATTTGTTTTTTCTGTTTTTATTCATTGTGGGAATGATTTGTTTCTCGGTTTTCACTATTTTGGTTACAAATAAGAACGTGGGCAAGGCTTTATCTGGAAAAGGAGATAATGAAGCCAAATTTGGAGATTGGCAACATTGGTTGGAGAAGCATGTTGTTAATGAAAAACATTGGGGTGATATTAAGAGTTGTATGGCTACTTTCAAATATTGTCAAATGATTCCACGTGGCAAATCTGCAGATTTTTACAAATATAGCCTCCCCGTTACTCAGGTTTCGTATATTTTTTATTTTTTATTTTGTCTTTACCCTTTCATTAGTTTTATTGTAAGTTCTTTTAGATTTTTGCATGTGGTTTCCTATTGTTGGGTGTGCGAACAAAGTCTTACATTGGTAGCTGAAAAGATTGGGAGTCTACATATAAGGTGTAGGAATCTCTTAATGGTGTGAAGCCTTTTGGAGAAAACCGTGCGGACTTGGTCCAAAGCGAAAAATATCACACCATGTTAAGAGTATCTTTTCGCCGTTTTAGCCCAACACCTATATATATCTTGGTTTATGCTTTGGTGCACTTTTCTCTAGACTCGTTTAATACAATGTTGCGTCATGTAAGTAGTAGCGGAGCAGAATTTTCACTAATTGGAGCCAAAATATAAAAAAGTAAACTCACAGAGAAGCTAAGGGGTGTCAATATATAGTATACATATATATAAATAAATAAATTTACCTTAACTATACAGTTTAATTGTTTGACATAAGGATACAAATTGAGACCCTTTCAATACATGTGGCTTCGCCACTGCATGCATGGTTCACATAGAGCTTCTATGGATGGAATGATTATACGTATTAATTTCTTTTTAGATGAATAACGCTTGCTCAATATATTGAGGAGACTAAACCTATAGTGGTCAATTTGCAAGCTTACAGTCAATAGTCAATCAATTCGACCTTTTCTCATTATTTGTAGACAATCAATTGCCTAAGAGATTAGAAGAAATTAACAACAACAAAAATTAGTTAAGTCACCTTAAGCTTTACTTCTTCCGATAAAGTACGCAGTAGATTGGATTTAAATACACTTTGAGCCCCAAGGGCCAAAAGCTTTTAGTTGCCAATTTCACACTGAGTTATACTCCCTCCGTTTATTTTTACTTGTCTACTATACTAAAAGTAATATTTTTTTACTTTTATTTGTTCTCTATATTAAATCAAGAGAAAGATAAACTTTTTTTTTTTTTCTGTTTTACCCTTATCATTAACTACTCATTCTCCATATCATTTCCCAAAACTTTTAAAAATACTATCATTATTATGAGTAAAATTGTTAAATATATACTTCATTTATTTTTATTTTTTTATGATGCAGTCGAGTTGTTGTAAACCGCCAACTTACTGTGGCTTTGAATTTCACAATGCAACCCACTGGACAATGCCAAAAGCAGGACCAGCCGTGCCAGACAGTGACTGCAAAACTTGGAGCAATGTTCAAAATGAACTCTGTTTCAATTGCCAATCATGCAAATCATCATTCCTTGAATCTATCCAGAAAAATTGGAACAAATTTGCACTCATCAACTTTTGTATTTTCGTTTTTATCATCATAATTTACTCTGTTGGTTGTTGTGCTCTAAGAAACAATAGATCAAAAGGATATTACAAACCATACCCTTAAATTTTTCTAAGTGATTTATTTGGTAAGAAGGAGCTTATTTGGTTTGGTTAACTGTGACATTAATACTGCATTTTTGTTTGTGAATGACTTGACTTTGTACAACAATCTGTAAATTCCAATTTGTATGGATTTATTAAATTTTAGGAATTTTATACAATCTCCTCTTTTGTACTGATACCAAGTCTTCGCAGCAAATAAATATTTCCTGAATAGGATAGCTATACTAGGTTTTTGGCGTTTTACTATTAGACGTTCTTCTTAATTTAGCCGAAGTTTAACTTATATCAAATCTCTTCCCTCATTTGTTTGCACTTAGGTCTAAATCTTAATCATTCATACCTCAAACATTAGATGCGTTTGTTTTTAAAGTTTGAATCTTTATCATTCAGATCTTAATCCTTAAGGGGTCGTTTGGTTTGAATACGACTATGCCGGGATTGTATTGGGGAAATGAATATTACACGTGGAATTAATTATGTGGCTGACGTAGCAAGACATGTTGATTACTAGAAAAGCGACAGCTGGAGAAGAGTATTAAAAAAACGTGAGCCTTAATAGGTACAAGCAAAACGTCTAAGAGATGAGAAGAAACGGTTGCTCGAGTCTCTTTAGCGATTTGAAGAGGCACCGGTGGAATGAGCCAAGACAGTAAAAAGGACAGATTCATTGGTCTTCAATTAATGAGCATGGATGATTACAAATGTTACAGAATCTTCACGAAACAGTTACGGTTACCAATTATAACGTTTCATTAATGCTCATAATGACTTGATCAAAAGGAAAAAGACGTTGTACTTAGAGATGACTATATAAGGAGAAGAAATGTCATTTGTATGGACACGTTCTGATTATTACTGTAATACAATTATTTACTTTTGCTTTCTATTGATTACTTTGCTATTTCATGCCCTAATTTCCTTTCTTACTGCAAGAATATTAATTTTCTTGATTATCAGTAACCCGAGTACTTCTAAAAATAGGCTTTGACCGAAATTCCTATTTTTTGGTTAAACAAATTATTTCCGTTACCGGGAATCTGATAATCTTCTCACTTTCCAAATTCATTTTTCTGTCAAAAAATCATGTCAAACGCTAACGACAACAACCAACAAAACCAACAAAACCAGCAAGACCAGCTGAACCAGCAGAATCAACAAGAGAATGCCACCCCAAGCCCTTCACCTCAAAATTCTCTCGACACTTCCGAGACAACTCACCTAACAGATCAACTTCACATGTGAACAATCAACAAGGGGATGATCAAAATGTAGACAATGTATTGAAGCAACTGATTGCAAAACATGTGAACAATGCTCTTCAAGCTTTCGTTAGCGGATTACCAACTATACCACCAACTCCGCCTCCAAACAAGACCGCAACCATAGAGAATACACGTTCAGGAGTCGCTAATTCGGGCAGCGGAGGAACTCCAAGCGAATCTCGCGATGGAGGGTCAGGTATCCCAGTTAATTCTGATTTACAAAGTTTAGTACTAACTTTGCAGAAACAGCTCAAGGAGCAGAATGATCGCATAGAGCAGATACCTGGTGCTCCACCTATAATCAAAGGAGTGGATATGGATAAATATTCTCAACAACCTTGGAAGCCAAGTGCCGCTCCTTTGCATATTCCAAAAAAGTTCAAGATGCCCGATATTCCAAAGTACGATGGGACAACCGATCCACGAGATCATGTAACTGCATTTACAACTGGCGTGAAGGGCAACGACTTGACCAAGCAAGAGATTGAATCAGTGCTGGTCAAAAAATTTGGTGAACCACTCACAAAGGGAGCACTAACATGGTATTCTCTTTTACCTGAAATTTCCATTCATTCTTTTGCTGAGCTTGCAGATTCATTAATAAAAGCACACTCGGGAGCGCAAAAAGTTGAAAAGAGGATGGAAGACATCTTCAAAATAAAACAAGGAGATACGTAGATACTTAGGGAATTCGTAGATAGATTACAGCGTGAAAGAATGATGTTACCACGTGTATCTGATAATTGGGCGGCTATGGCATTTCCAAGTAATCTAAATGAAAAAAGCTCAGAAGCCACGAGGAGACTCAAAGAAAGCTTACGAGAATTTCCTGCAACAACTTAGAATGATGTTTACAACAGGTATAGCACGAAGCTGCGGATAGAAGAAGATACTATCACTCAGCCCCGGGGAGATGAAAGAGTAAGTTCGAGGCGACCAGAAACTAAAAAAAGGTCCGGTAACAACAAGTATGAACCTTACATGGGACCAACAGGAAGGGATTCACGTTCAAAACAAGAGAACCCGAGGTATGATTCCAGAACAATGGACAGAGATTCGGGTTCGTCGTCCAGGTTTGGAAAGGAGCGAGACACACGGGACAACGACAAAAGTTCAAAAGCGAAGATTGGCGGCTACAAATTTTAATGTTAGCACATCTGAGTTGGTAGCTGTTTTAAGAAGCATGGGAGATAAGGTGCGTGGCCATAAGAAATGATATCGAACCCCAACAGAAGAAACCCAGATTTCTGATGCGATTTTCATAATGATCACGGTCATAAAACAACAAATTGCAGATTGCTACAAGGTGAAGTAGAGCACTTATTAAAAGCAAGGCTACTTAACTGATTTATTCAGTGAGAAGGGTAAGCAAGCATATATGAAGAATAGACAGAAGCCCCCAAAACCTCCGTCACCAAAGAGAACGGTTAATGTCATAAGCGGAGGAGAGGAGTTCAATGGTGTGACATATACGGCTGCAAGAAAGGTATCAAAAATCATAGTCACCCACGGGAAGCGAGTTCGCCAAGTTTTGGAAGAAGACAGTATAACATTTGATGATGCAGACGCAGATGGCGTGTTGATCCCACATAATGATGCACTGGTAATATCTTTACTTGTACATGATACCAATGTGAAATGAGTTTTGATTGATCCAGGTAGTTCTGTAAATATAATTCTTTTAAGAGTGGTAAACGAGATGCAAGCTGATGACAAATTGGTACCTAAAGCACGTACCTTATCTGGATTTGACAATTCAAGCATTTTCACAAAAGGGGAGATAATACTCACCACATTTGCAGAAGGAGTGATCAAAGATACGAAATTTCAAGTAATAGATATGGACATGGCGTACAATATGATCCTTGGAAGACCTTGGATTCATGAGATGGATGTTGTTCCATCTATTAAGTTCCCTTCTCAATGGGGAATTAGGCAAATCCTTGGTGATCAACAAGGTTCTAGAAGTATCAATTCAGTGGCAGATTTTAGTATACAAAATGACGTTGCAGATATGAAATAGCAATTACAGAATTTAGTTGAGGATTTAACAACTCAAACCTCAACTGTAGATGGACAAACGAATGTAGACTCAAGGCTTGATACTATTCAAGAGCCAGAAGAAAACGAAAACATCAAAACAACAATTGAGGAACTCGAAGCGGTGGTGTTGTTTATACATTGGCCACACAGAAAAGTTTACATCGGAACCAACCTCAGCCCAGAGATGAAAAGTAAGTTAATTGAATTTTTAAAAGCTAACGCAGATTGCTTTGCTTGGTCGCATTCAGATATGACAGGTATACTACCGGAGGTGATGACCCATAAGCTGAATGAAGATCCAGCGTATCCACCTATTAAATAGAAGAAAAGGAAGCAAGGATCCTTCAAGAATCAGGTTATTCAGAATGAAGTACAAAAGCTTTTAAAAATCGGATCTATCAGTGAGGTAAAATATCCTAATTGGCTAGCTAATACTGTAGTGGTACCCAAAAAGAATGGTAATTGGCGAGTTTGTGTAGATTATACTGACATAAATAAAGCTTGCCCGAAAGATTCTTTTCTTTTACCACACATAGATCAACTAATTGATGCTACTGCAGGGCACGAATTGTTGAGTTTTGTCGATGCCCCCTTTCTCTCGCGAAATTGGGTTTATGACATTTGGGCGGACAACTCATTTCCTTTTGGGAATTGGGTTTGCAATTGAAGAGTCGCCACCTAATGATTAAGTGCATTAGGACACTAAAGAAATTTGATTTAGAAAAACCAGAGATTGGGTAAGGGCTTGAAATTATCTCGAGGGAAGGTATTAGGCACCCCTCAAGATCCACTAGTGTGGTTCCCGGCCATGCTACAATTGTGACTTTAAGTGCAAATGACAAGTGAACAAGCAAGAATTGCAAATACCAGATAGTTTTCACATAATGGTTGCAAGCAACTGAAGCAAAAGAAGTTAAAGAAACTGCAAAATTAAAGCAAGAAATAATTTTGCTTATGATAATTTTGACCATGACAATTATTATGGTATGATTTTCTCCGTAAAAGAAACATTCACCATATGGATGGTGTAATAAAATATTTTGTAGTACAAAATCAATTAAGAGCTCCGGAGAAATAATTCATTACTACTCGGATGAATGAAATTGTTCATGATATTGATATTATTGTAAATCTCAAAAGAAACTTTTTGAGTTTTAAATATATTAGCCAAAGTGGTTGGCATATTGAGACTATAAATTAAAGGAAGAATGAATATCTTCATATTACTATAATCATACCGGGTAAATATGAAAGGTTATCCTATTTTTCTTTTATTTGTATTACACATGTATAAGCATGATGATGGAATCACATGCCACAAGGAAGAGCATGATATCTACCCTTATGCATACATGAGTGACCCTCCCCTTTTCACTAAAACCCCCATAAGTTATTACAAAATTATTACAAACCAGAACGAATCAAGAAGAGTAAAATTACATCAGAAATTAGAGTACAACCAAGGAGAGCCTGATTCAGACTCCAAGTCTGAAATATGAAATAAACCAACTCCAAAGATCCAATTTCCAAAGCCTTTCTCATTTTCTAGGTGTGTCAAAGTTCCCAAGAGCCTCATGAACTCCGGGCAGTGCTTACACCCAAATTCATTACAGAATTGAATTATAGTGCAGTGTGGAAGGGCCAACCCTTAAATGTCCAAGTTCAGAGGGAACTCAAGCTCCCCAAAGCTAGGCTCATAGGAGGTGGGCAGAACTTAAAAACTAAGAGTGAGTGTAAGTGCAGAAAGGGGTTTAGGGGGAAAGTCAAGACAGGCTGGTGGTCATACCCAGCAATTGGAAGTGCTGGCACACCCAACCAGCCTGTCAGCCACATTGTTTGGGAGTTAGGATCCTTTAAAGGATCAAGCACAGACATGAACAACAATTTGGATGCTGCCATGCCTGAACCTTAACTCAAACACATAGAGGGGAATAGGGGTATGGGGATTCACAGCAGAAAACGGATGCAAAGAGGACAGCATACATATTTAACACTAAGCATAGACAGCAAAGTAGACAGGATGATAGAAGCTGTGAAATAAACACATTGGGATGAGTCTGAAACTTAAATTAGAACATACCAGTTTCAGGGAAACAAGAAAGTAAAAGCAGTAGTCTTGTAAAGCCAAATTGCAAGCAAATAGTCAGAATATCTCAGAAGAGAGTAGAGTGTTGGGTGAAGCGTAAGAGTATTGAAATTGAAAGTAAGTAATGTGTGTTAGAGTATTGAACTCAAGGTGTCTTAAAGTGCTGAAAGGTCGTGCCCTTTATAGTGCAGAAAGCAAGTAAGAAAAATGTAAGAAAATAGTTTTGAAATCAATTACATAAGGTCTCCCTTTAATTAAGGGATTCTGATTTCAAACGGGCAGAATAAATAAGGAAAGAATTTGATCAAAATCTTTTTCAAAGTAGTACAAGAAGGGCAAATACATAGAAAACTATTTAAGGAAAGAGTTTGATAGCAACTCGGTTTGTGCAAATAAGGAAAGGAAATCAATCAACAGCCAGTAAAAATCAGAAATTGAGTTTGGTATGAATGAATTCAACCAGAAAAGGTGAAGAAAGGTTTAATTAAAGAAAAATCAGTAACAATCAATCGAACCTTAGTAAAAGGAATTTTGAATCAATCACAAATTGGCAAAAACCTTTTTTTGAAGGAAGAATTCCTCATATATAAAGCATACAGACATGTCAAACAAGAAAGAACTATCATGCCAATTAGAAAGAATCTAGTATAGAAAAGTTCAGAGTCACAAACAAAGAGGCTCAAATTCAGTACATAGACTCAGACTTAGTTTGAGAGAATCCGGGGTTCCATAATAGAACCCTAGTCCACACACAAGATCAAACTCGCCAAAAACCCCAAATCCTAGGGTTTTCAACTCGAATCAGATGCAGAGACGAGAAGACAAATAACTGAAACAGGCTCAGAGGTCTCTTTCAGAGACTCATGAGAAAACACACAGGTAAAATAGCAGGTTCGAAACAAATAGAGTGAAGAAACTGATTTAAAGCATAAAGAACATGTTTTAAGAAAAGCTTGGAACTTAAACAAGTTCAGAAGACAAAGAGGTAGTATAAACTTAAGGAAACAGTAGATGAAACATGTTTAGAAAGAACTCAAACAAAGTCCAGAAGAAGGCAAATAAAGAACTAAGAGCTTAGTAGA